TTTTTTTTTTTTTTACTTTTACGGATATGTTTAATCGGGTAAACAGAATTTCACTTAGGTGTATATTGGAGTGTAATATTAAATTGTTTGACCTTATGTAGTCTGCGATACTGAAATTGTCGTAAAGTAACCCAATAAAAATTATCTTAAAATGAATGTTACAGAAGTCAGGTTTGAGGGTGTGGACTGACTTTGTCTGGCTCAGGGCCTTGATCGATAGTGGGCTCTTTCGAACACAGGAATTAAATTTCGGGTTCTATAAAGGGCAAGGAATTTCTTGGCTCTCTGAGTGACGATTGTTCTCTGAAGAAGGTGCCTGCGGCAAATAGTTAAAATTGCACCTACAATTGCAGGGCTTAACATTCACTCAGTATTGTTTTAATGCAATATTTACAAGCCTGCATACCTAGCGAATGTGAAATGCACTGATGAAATTTCAGAGTGGGAGAGGACAAGATGTGCCATTGGAAGCAAAAATAATTTCAATGGGCCGAATCCAGAATTTTGTCTTATTTGCAGATGAAGCCAGTAAGGAGCTCTGCTTGGTGAAACTGGTGGATTTGTAATGGCTGTGCTGGACTGGAGCGCAAACACGAATTCGTTATTGACAGGAAATGCGAGCCTGCTTATGGCCACAAATTCCTGCAAATTCTCTCCCTTTTGTTTAATAATCTTAAAGATCGTAAGACTTAGGGAGAACGTGTATTGTGCATAAAATATGTTTCGTTTTTAGTTCTTTTGTTCGAAAGATTATTTGCTCCTATAAACATTCAATAACGTGCGCTGGAGATGAGCACAGACGCGCATGAAGGTGATTTAACCCGATTTTAAGGAAAATTTGGTTGTATCGAAAAATTTTAATATAACTTCCACGTATCAAATTTCAAATCCGGTCATCTGTTCTATAGGTGTTACGGGTGGACGGACGGACAGATATAGCGATGCTAAGCGGTGCATATTTGGAACTTTGGCGAACGCGCTAGAAATTCTATTTTAAAGGAAAAGCAAGAAATTAAATCGTAGAAAATAGGGTTGCCTGTAAACTAGACGATGCTGCACTGCAATCCAGGAGGATTGTACGAATAACAATAATACTCTTTGTTTTTTTGTTATTGGTGTATTTAGTGGCACTCGTAGTAGCTGATATTGTCGAGTTATCAGGTGATGAGAGAGTAATGAGTTGAAAAGATTGTAGAAGGGGCCATGGATTCTGTATAAGTAAGGGGCCATGTGTTGATCTAACGTACTGTCCCAGAAGGACCCTGAAGCAGCTGAAGAAAGACCGACGCACGTACCAGTATTTTGTAAACGAGTTCTCTGGCATTGTGAATGGATTATTGGCCTTGAATTATATTTATTGCAGAAATCTCATTGGAGATAAGCACTTTGTAGAACTGGAGATTTAGTTTCTTCATATTTCATTAAGTATTCACCATATCGAAAAAGTGCTGACCTATAAAAAATAATTGTATATCTTACTGAGGTCTGTTTCTTGTATCTTGCACCAACTTTCTTGCAGCGAGTTTTTGAAGAAATTGCAATAAAAGTCTATTTGATCGGAATGTAAAGTCGGGAATATATCTGACCAGTACTAACAGAAATTAAATTCACGATATAGTCTTTAGTGTCTGTACGCCTTCATGGCGTAATGCTAATTAATTAAGCACAAGACAACTTTACGTTTTTACCCCTAGTGTAGACTCCAGGCACCTAATTTAATTAAATCTGCTAAGTATTTTTCTAAATTAAACCAGTATCATTATTGTTTTATTCATTCTGGTAGCACATAAAAAGATTATATGATACTGAGATGATCCAGTAGGTTTGTTGGTATTGTTACATGTCCCTAGTTTTAACCTCCTCCTATTTGTTAATAAAAGAAAGCAGCTTATGAGATGAACATGCTTTTTGTGCGTTTTTGCTTTTGAATTCTGAACCAGTTGACCGATTTTCACGACACTTAGTATGAACTTTATGCTAGTGGAGGTTATCCAAACCTTGCACTTCTTAATTTCACAATCATTAATAATAGAATGGAGGACGGACGAACTTGAGAGCGAGATTAGTGCTGCTTCGTTTAGGGCACTGATGCAGTAGAATTTCGAAAACTGTACGTGTTTTAAGATTTTTTTTTTGTGCACTATAAATAACGAGCAACAACATAGCAACCTTGCGATATGTGTATACATGTACTGGCTTTAGGTTTGATGGCGAAAACTGATGAGCTTTTTGAGCTGGTCATCGAAGTATAGTATAAATATAGTTCGAAAACATTCCTACACAGTACATACGAAATATTATAAGTGAACATTAACAAACAGCAGTGATAGGAAGCTTAGGACAAATTCAATTAATTATCCACGCTATGCGTATATTCTACAGAGAGACTTCGTTCTAGCTCAACCTCTTCACTGGCATCCAAGACTACTTAGAAGCATGCACATTGTTTCTGGCTTTCCTATTAATTGCGATATAATTTTGAAGTATACCTTACTTACATCTAGATGTTTGCACACTTTTACTGTCAAATGCCTCTTCCCCCCCCCCCCCCCCTTGGCACTACAACCCCAGTGGGCCTAGGTCTACCTCCATGAACTCCGTTTACTTCGGTTTTTCTCGATCTTACACATACGGTAGGATTCCTTGGGCGAGTGATCAGCTCTTCGCAAGGCCTCTACCTGTAGGCAAACAGAAAAACGCACACAAACATCCATGCCCTGAGAGGGATTCGAACCCACGATCCAGGCTTCCGAGCGAGCGAAGACAGTGCATGCCTTAGACCGCTCGGCTACCGTGACCGGCCAAATGCCTCTTTAGTTTTCTTAATTCACATCATCACTGGGACCCAAACCATCAATAAATTATTTTACATCATCAGAATGATTATAATAAAGTAAAGCAGCTGCAGTCCATGATCTCCATTGGTTAATGTGTGTTCTGCAGACAGTGAGACGCCTGGTAGTTTGTCTTTGTATATGTCAGTCCTAAGAAGGGCCTTCACAGACATCCGTTATGCTTGATATCAAATTATTCAATAGTGTTAATTCTCCGTGCGTTATCTTGGCCGGTATGTTGAGCCCATGCGCTGAACATATAATATGGATGAGGTATCCATAAAAGAGCTTCACATGATTAGCCGCTTTCAGGACATAAGGCATCAGTGTCTGATAGAAGTACACGAATCATATCTTCCTTCCTCCGTGGGCACAACAGACGCAGAGAATCTGAAAGAAACCGAGGAGTTTTAGAATTTTTCTTTATTACTGCCCTTGCAGGGAGTTGGGTATGATGTTCCTGGTTCCTCAGCTTAAGATCTCGAATCTCTCCAAGGGCCGGACAGTGAGAAACCAACTGCTGAGTCATGGAGCCGAGTGCTTGAGAAGTCATTAATCACTCAGCTATTCAAGAATTTTCCAACATTTTATGGAACCCAATAGTTCATTACCGTGTTTACAAGAGTCCCCCCCCCCACTGGTCCCAGGCTTGAGCCAGATGAATCCAGTCTATACCATTCCGTTTCTGTAATATCAATTTCAATATTATCCTTCCACTTATGTCTACGTCTTCAAAGTTGTCTCTTTCATTCTAGTTTTCTCATACACCAGTTTTTCAGAAACGCCCAGAATTACTATTGATCAGTTTATACTGCGGTATGTTTGCAGCAACCGTTATTTCGGAAGATCATAGTAAGAAGGCTTGACCTTGTGCGTCAGTAGTGCCTGTCTTGAGCCCTACATTCCTTTCTTGCAGCTGCATGGACACTTACATATGAACGTTGTTCCAGATCATAAATTTTGTCGCACGAGAATTTTTCCCCTCGTGGCTCACAAAATTCAGTCTAGTGCTATGGTGAAGAATGGTGGAGCTGTACCTATAGTCCGCCATACGTCTTTATAGAATTGTGCTTAATTAATTAATTAAGCACAGGCACAACTTAACATATTACGGTTGGCAAAATACAACTCCGTCTCTGGTGTATCTGTCATTTCCAGTCTATTACATATTAAGAACGCGGTAGCGTAGTTGGTTGAGGCACTATGCTGCAAACCGGAAGGTCGCGGGATTGAATCCCGACGAGGTGAATATTTTAAATTTACCCAATCCTTCAAGCCGCACTGTGGCCCTGGGGTCGACTCAGCCTCTGACAGAAATGAGTACCAGGAATATTCCTTGGGGTAAAGGGCGGTCGGCGCGTAAGGCTGACAGCCTCACCGCCATCTGTGAGCCGACTGTGTAGACAATGTGGAAGCCTCAGTATCTCAAACCCTATGGGCCAGCACGGCCTGTTACAAGGATAACTTTACTTAAATAAGTAAAGATTTTATACGGCTGTGAATGTTGTTAGTTGTTACAGTTATACTGAACATAATACAACCGAATACATATGAAAAGAAAACATAAATATTCTGAAAGTATGCAGCGAAGAAAATATATGCTCAAACCCGTTAAATACGCAAAAGTACGCGTTATTAGAATAAGTGATATGCTTTTATAAAACTTAAAATACGTATACTGATGCTGAAATGATTTGCCAGCAAAGAAGGAAATTAGATATGCTTTTGCATAAAAATCCGATGTTTAGTGAATATCTTTGATGGGTAAAACCGCTTTGGACTGGTTGACATAGCCCAGAAGGGCTGGAAGGGAATACAGGAGCAAGCAGAGAAGGGGAATCGTCGATCACCGTCATCCTTCCCATCCAACCTTTGCTAGCAGCATCAGCTCTTGGCTGGTTGACATTCGTTGGAAGGCGTAGATAGGATATAGTAGAAGGGGGGGGGGAAAGCGTCGATCGCCGTTATCCGTATACTGTAAGGGACTTCATTCCGCGGCTTCAGTATAGTCACGTACCTTATTACCAACTTTGACGATTTAGCGGTCACTTGTAATTAACTAGAGATACTTGCTGAATTGTTCGCCAGCACAACACAGATTTAAAGAAAGTGTTTGTATACTTTTGTACCTCTGTAAAATAACTCTGAGACTTTCTTCTGTTACAGAATGTGTTGTACAATGCGACGACGGCCCTGTGTTCGTTGTATGCCTTCTTTCTGGTAAGTAACAAGTCATGAAGATAATGCTGTTGTTACGTAACATAAACTTGAATCAGTCCAAGTGGGAAATGTGTTACATAATGGGACATATCTGGATCGTATTTTTTTTATAAATGTCGGATGGATGGAATCTTACGTTATTTTATATATGGAATTTATCATGATTCCCGATGAGGTCATTGGATTTTTCAATTTACCTAATTTTTCCATCCGCACTATGGCCCTGGGGTCGAGTCAGCCTCAAAAAGAAATTAGTGCCAGGAATCTTCCTGATGGAAAATGGCGGCCGGCGAGTAAGACTGACATTATCACCGTATAACGTTGTTAATATCTCTCTCACATTCGTCTAAAGCATTTTTTGGGTACCTCAAAACGCAACTCTGCAATGCATTTCGAGTCGAGATTCCCAAACACTTGGGATGATATTGTACGTCAGGCCCTTAATGCAGTCAGCGGACCGACATCCATTCTTCACATTGTTTTAGAGTTCGTGTTCGCCTTACCTGTTTTTACTTGTACCTGTGATGTTTCATGTAGTTAACGTTAGTCATGGTTAAACACGACTGTTACTTCCTTTTTTATCAAGCACAAACAGTTTTTTACATGAAGTTAATACAGTGAATGCATAATGGGGATGAATCTTACAGTCGACGTCTTTCATGTCCCAACTAATCAGATTTTGACGAAATTTTATATTGAGGTTTCGCCCCCAATATTGACACCTAGTTTGAGTTTGGTTCATATGGTGATTCTCTAAAGGTTTATGACAGTAGCTCCTTTTATAAAATTATTATGTTGCACAGTGTCTTACTTTTAAGTCACGCTGGATAACTCAGTCGGTATAGCGAGTTGCCTAGGAGCTGGATGCCTGAAGAATCGGGTTTCAGTTCCTGGGAGGGGCAAGAGATTTTTCTCTCCATAATATTCAGACCGGCTTTGGGATCCGCCCAACCTCCCGTACAATGGGTATTGAGAGCCGCTTTCCTGGGAACAAAGCGGCATATCGTGAAGCGTATTACTTACCTGCAGCAAGTGCTTTGGTTAAGAATGGCGGAGCTGTACCTTCACTCTCCCGTACGACTTCATGGCATTGTGCTTAATTGATTAAGTCCATGGATAACTTTACCTTTTACTTTACCAAACGGGAATTTGTAGAAATTATTCACGCAAGAAAAATGTTCGTCTGCATAATTAAATGCATATTTCATTAAGACCTGATTACACGGCGTCACCTTCCAGAAGATAATGCTTTTCATAGTCACCACTATGATAACTTAGAATTTAAAAAAATGTTAATGTTTTGAAGTGAAAACGATTTTATTAGAGGGTCATATCTTCTGTAATGTTCACGCTGCATACATTTTGGTCATCACAGACTTTTAGGACCGTATCATCATGCAGCATTGTATTTACTTACCCCTCCCAACCCCTGGCATGCAGTACGTAACGGTATGTCTTGCTGACATATTCCATTAAGTGCTGCTCTACGACGGTCGGACCAACCTGATACTGGCAAGGTGAGGTTTACGGAGACTTAATTTAGTTCTAGTTTGTAGTGATGTTGCGATTTAGTTGTTACGGTAAGATTGTATGTCAAATGGTAAACTTGTGACTTTCTGGAATTCCAGTGCATGATTGTTTATAGAGTCGTGATTTTGAAACTGACCACTCCTTTGCATTCTGATGGCAACAGTTAGCTTTGCGAGCTGTAGATAGCAGTTTTTATACATGGTTGGGTGCTGGGAAAGATAGACTTGGCTTTTGACCTAATTTACAAAACCTATATTTTTAATTTTATTGTCCGTGGGTTCACTACAGAAGGTATAGGTCCCATACTGGTAGTCGTAGAATCGTTGGTCCCCTGAGCCACGCGTAATTTTGAATTTGGAAGATGGTATACCTGTTGCGGGAGTTAATTTCTCGTGGGACAATGGATTACGCCCAATCTGTGGCACATTACAGAAGAGGATATAGGATATATTTGATGTTTCATATTGTGTTCTGGGTTGTGGCATTGTGATCTGGTATGTAATCACCAACATTTCGGAGCAGCCTATTTCCTCTAACTTTAGGGTAGATGCAGGCAGTATGTTCCTTCATAACACTGGTACTAGCCTAGCAGGCAGAAGGCAATAATAAGCAAGGAATGTAATTTCATTCTAAATACTGTCCATGATTCTAGACCTGGTCCCTCTTAACAGAATGCGCAGTGAATTTGACCAAGTCCATGAACTGAGATAAGCATTGGATGTTGCGTATGAATTATATCAGGGCCTTAGTTACAGTGCATCACCCTTCTTCCCTCCTAACCGTTTCCAATTTTAAGTAATTGCCACCAGCTTTCACGCTGGTATCTTGCTCGGCTTATTTGACCCTGAAGATGATGGAGGCGATATGTTCCTACGGAACTTTGGATGACTTTCAACGGACTACACGGCGTTATATCCCGGAAGACATTAGTTGCTTATAGTTATTATTATAATACCTTAAAGGATTTGGTACGATGCGCCGTCTTTTTCAACCCGTTGCACGTTTCCACTCGTAATGTAGTACATCAAATTTATGAATTCGAATTCAGTCTGAAGAAAGTCGTCTTCTGGGTTTACGCGCCGTGTATTCTTCGTTTTGGCCGACGTTTCGGAGGAACGTATCGCCTCCATCTTCATAGCAGGTGAATGGCTTGGAATGCAGAGAGCAGTAGCTGAGTGAGTGTAACTCAGGTACTGCTCTCTGCATTCCAAGCCATTCACCTGCTATGAAGATGGAGGCGATACGTTCCTCCGAAACGTCGGCCAAAACGAAGAATACACGGCGCGTAAACTCAGAAGACGACTTTCTTCATAGTCATCGCCGTGAAAACCTCAAAACTTACATCGAATTCAGTCTGTTTTCTGTTTCGTCCGTTATGATTAATTGAATAGGAGTTAACTATTAACATATTTTACAGATCGTTGCGAGTGTAGGCTACATTACTAACAGGTGACAAGGTGGAGGGCGCCGGGAATCTGAGGCGCCTCCAGTACTAATTACGACCTTGCCAGCGTTGCCACTTTGCAGAGTATCCAACTTCAGAAACTTACTTGTAACTTGAAATTTAAACTGAATCGCTTGACTTTGGGTTCGTGATGCGTCTTGAGATGTGTGTCAACGCAGCGTGGCGCCTAATAATGCGAACGATCCCCCCTTCGTACTGTTTGCGACTTTTCAAAAAGTGATGGCGTTTGTATCAGCTGTTCTGCATTTTAAAACAATTGTTGCTATTAAATTTTTATAACAGGTTCTGTTTAATTAACACTTCCCTTTTGCTGTGAAGAACCCGCATAGGCTTTAAAAGAGAATTTGAATTTCCGTTACGACTCTCATATCAGTACATCTTCTGATTAGGAATCAACATTCTCGCTGGTATTTAAACAGGGTTCCTAGACCGGGGACGGGGCGTGTGAGAGGGACATGTTCTAGTGATTCTGTATCCAACTTTGACTGCTTTCCCCAACATTTTATTTGGTAGTGAGCCTGCGAACAGATCACCTGCATACATCGAAGTTTTACCTTCTTTTATGCATATATATTGTTTCTAACCGGTACTATCTTGAGTTTTATTTTGGAAAGTGACTTTTTCCTACGTTGTACATTACATTTACTTTCCATTTTTGGACCATCATAACATTTGAATAAACTTTTTTTTTCGTCGATATGCGTGAACTGCAACCTTATTAAGTGACTGGGAGAAGAAGTGATAGTGTACCCGAGGAGATAGCTCATCTTTAACTTGGAAAATCAGTAAGTTTCATTAAACCAATAACTGATAACATGCTTATAAGTTGTGTGTTTTCAGCACGGAACTCTCGAGTCTTTGTTTAACAGAGAGTCTGATTTCAGGCATTCCTTGAGCAGATTTCGCCCTATCCTCTTTTTGGCAAGGACTAATGCTAAAAAAGGTACAACTGAGAAAATAAGAATGGGATTTTAATTGCATCCAAATCTCTGCCGAACATCCCTCGAACAGTTCAACACATGGGCAAGAGCACGGAGTACATTCCGTATCTTTGGATGTTCTGTTACGCCCGTGTTACCAAGCAGGAAACTGAAAACTTACATTTTTATACGCGTGTTCGATACATGAAGAAATTAATTGATTTATGGTTTTTGCAAGCAATAGATATTTTATAAGATTTGAGATTTTCACGGCGGTGACTATGAAGAAAGCAGTTTTCTGGGATGTAGCGCCGTGTAGATAGTGTTAACAGACGTTTCGGAGGAACGTATCGCCTCCATCTTCGGGGTAGAAGGAAAAAGAAAATCCGCAAGCGAAGAACCACCTGCTCACGCTGATTCTTCGTTTGCAGATTTTCTTATTTTTTCTTCTGCCCTGAAGATAGAGGCGATACGTTCCTCTGAAACGTCGGTTAACACAATATCTACGCGGCACCACATCCCAGAAGACTGCTTTATTAATAGATATTTTATATATGGTTTATTAGAATGATATGAACAGCTCAGTTTTGAAACAGTCCATCTTGTTTTAGTTCGTTGTGAAACACGAATGTTTCATAAATGTGTGAAACGTCAGTTCTTACATCATGAAGTACACTGCGCTTCAATGACACACTAGTCGGTAATGCTGTTTAGGACAATGGACGCTCTTTATTCTCATAATTATACGAAAAATAAAAGAATCCTTGGGAAAATGCATGTTTTAATGTTAAAGCATGTAGTACTTATAACTACTCATTTACTTTGAAGGGTTACTAGAAGAATCATATCCGCGTCGTTTCTAAACCTGGTAAAACATGAACGTGTCTGTATAAAAGGTCCATAACTCATAATTAAAAACCCCGCTGAAAATTCAGCGCAAAACATATGACAGTTTACATCCCTAACATCAGTTTCTAAAGGTATCTCTTCAATTAATCCACCCCTGCACGTCATATCCCTTGGAGGACAAATCACAATTACACCGAATATGCACTCTGTGAACTTGACAAGTTCTGGAAAGACAT